CCAGGGCTCTCTTGGGAGTGCTCCTGGAAGCGTCTGGAGCCATGTTGGAGGCCTCCCGAAACCTCTACCACGTGCTTCGGCGACATGGGTCGAAGATGGGAACCATTCCTGGTGCTGAAACAGCACCAGGGTCCGTCCGGAGCCGCTCGGGAGACGCCCCGAAGCGGCTCTGGAGAGGCCGGGGGGGGGTCCCCCCATGGCGAGTCGAGGCAGCTGGCCAGAGGCCCCCGGCCTCGTACCCCGACAGATATATACATACCTATATATATATATATATATATATATATATAGATGTATGGATATGCATACATGCATACATGCATACATGCATGCATGCATGTATACATGCATACATGCATACATGCACACATTCATACATACATACATACATACATACATGCATACCTACATGCATGCATACATACATACATGCGTACATACATACATACAGACAGACATACATACATACATACATACATACATGCATAAATACATACATACAAACATGCATACATACAGACATACATACGTGCATACATACATACATACGTATACATATAACTATACATATACATATACATATGCAAATACGTATACATATACCTATACCTATACATATACATAAACATATGCATATACATGTACATATACATATATAAACATATACATACATACATATATATATGTGTGTATATGTCAGACCCCCTTTCCCGCCGAACTAGAACGAAGTCTATGGTATTCCATCCTACGCCGGGTCTCTTCCACGTGCCGCTGAACCTGTCCCTACCCCCGAAAGTGTTCAGCGCCTGTAGCTCGAACTCCTCCATGATCTGCATCAGGCTGTGCCCGTTGGCGTTGGTGGTGTCTCATGCGCTTGATGCCCGCACCCCCCACCCACGGCAAGAACGGCGCTACCTGAGCGTTCGCGTCTCGCGTGTAGATCAACGAAGTGCGGGAAGGGATCTGACTAAGTGCCCTGCGGCACTGTTCCCAAAATTCGATCCTCAGTTTCTTTTCGTACTTGTCCCTGTGCTCCGCCTCGTTGACTCCCTCTCCTGGTCTACTGGCCTCGTTGGTCGGAGCGCACCCGCTCTGGACGAACACGTTGCGCTCGTGTTGGTGGTCTCGCTCCAGCCGCAACCCTTGAAGCCTCCCTCCCATCCAAATGTGAGTGCACCTCAGTTCCTTGTCCTGGTAAACATTCGTTTTGTAGGCGATGGTGCAGCCATCTCTTCGCGGTGGGGTCCTCGGCGCGGGCTGGATGCTGAAGCACTCGCAGCTTCATGGTCTGCTCATGTCCCTTTGGGCCTCATGAGTACAGACCAGCGCAACTCCAGCATCCCTGGCCATGATCATGAACTCCTGCGTGCGCCCAATCACGTTCAGGGACTCGGCGTTAAAATTTCATACTTGCAAGTCGGCACTCCTCATGCGCTTCCTCTTCTCCCCTTCCGTCTCCTCGGCGAGGTGCATGGCACGAAGGACGGACTGCACCGACTGCTGCCTCGTCTCGACGCCCTGAAACACGGCGCTGGACGCGAGCGCGCCGGCCGTGGTCTTCGTGTCGCGCTTGCCGAGAAACCAGCATACGCCATTGGCCAGCGCCAGCTGCACCGCTCGCCGCAGGGTCCCCTTCCCCTTGCCCTTACACTCTGGCTCGCGCATCGGAATGTCGCACACGGCGTCTGCACTGCGCTCCAGCGGGGCCGAGCCCTCCCCGCAGGGCTCGCCTCACCAGCCGCCGCCGCCGCCGCGCGGCGCCATTGCACGGGCTGGGCGGGGACTTGCGACCCCGCACGGCTTCGAACGCCTCGCGTCTTGAGCCGTCGAGGCTTCCAGCCGGCATTCCGCCTGCCTCCGCCGGCGGAGCCGCCCCCATCTTACTTCAGCCGCCGTCCGCTAGCCTTCCGCCGGGAATGAGATGCCAACTCTTTCGATCCCTCGAAGACGAGGCCCTGTCTGGAACGCCTGGTCTGCAGCTGCGTACGCCGCAGGATGTTGCCCCCCTCCTCCTATACTGCGCGCCACGAGACTGGTAGTAGAGCTCGGGGCAGTGCGGGCAGGGGTCTGCGGACCAGGCCCCAGCCGCACACGTCGTCGCTCGGGGTGGAGCTGGGGCACCCCCTAGGGGGCGAATGCGGGCGAGAGGGGGCGTACCGACGTCTGAAGGAACATGAGCAGGAGGAGTAGCAGCAAGAGCAAGACCTGCGGCAACCGAGCTCCGCGCCCGCTGCATACGGCCAGACCTAGGACAGAATAACATCCTTCAAGAACATGAGAACCTCCACCGGCAAAAACACACACACAGAACATTCGAGGGTGCCCTCCCACAGGAAGCACGAGAACATCAGACAAACACGAAGAACCTTGGGGTACCCTCCCCGTACCGACCTCGATCTGAGACCTCGGTCAGACTGTAGCAGAGGGGGCGCCCAGCGAAGCCGACTGAGGAATACCTCCGCCGCATGCTGGTGATCCCGAAGGAGTTCCGACAATGTTACCCGGCAACTCATGAGAGCGTCCCATACACTCTTCTTGGCTCTTGCGAATCGACGCTGCTCGACGATAATCGGCGCCGACCGGCGCTAATCGGAGCTAGATCAACGCGAATCGACGCTAAATCGGCGCTCCCACATTGATCACCAAACGCTAATCAACGCTAGTGCGCTTCAAGACCGACTTACGAGAGTATACACGGCCCCTGTGATTTCCTAACAAATGACTATGCGAGAGGGCACGATCATCGCGAAGGGTATGCCAGAAATGGGCGCGGTGCCGCCAAGCGGACCCCCCCACTGGGGCCGCAGGTGGAGCTACCTGTGTCCAGCTTCCTCTAGGAGTGCTGGTCAAGCCACCGAAGCAGGAGGCAAGGAGGGGGGGGTGGGAAGAAGCGCAACGCTGCCTCTATGATGCAAACGCCGCAGATCAGAAGCTGCACCGCACTTCTGACACCATTCCTTCAGGCGGCGCACCTCCTCCGACCTCACAACACATTCGCGACGCGGCCCCCCAGGGCTCTCGAACCCTCCTTCTTCCGGGCCGACGGATCCGCCAGAGCAGCTGTTTGAAAGCGACGGTGCCCGAAATGGGCCTCCAGAGCCCAAACCGAAAAGTCGAAGAAGAGGAGGAGGAGGAGGAGGAGGAGCAGGAGCAGGAGCAGGAGCAGGACGAGGACGAGGACGAGGAGGAGGGCGAGGAGGAGGAGGAGGAGGAGGAGGAGTCGAGCGTGCTCGCGAAGAGGAGGAGGAGGAGGAGGAGGAGGAGGAGGAGGAGAAGGAGCAGGAGGAGCGGGAACCAGAGAGTCGGCGCTGGCTCGTGCCGCGACGCCAGGTCTGAGGGCGGGGGCGTGTCAGCCGCCGCGGCCGAAGCGCTCGCGCCGCAGGGCTTCTGCGGCACGCCAGCCGCCGGGCGCTCCCCTTCGTGGAGGCCGCGGGCAAGAAGCAGCGGCGCCACGCGCGACGTTCGAGACGCGTGCCTGCCCCGCACGCACGGGCGCCCAGCCTCGAGACCGCGGGGGACAAATGGCGGCTTCCCCACCGGCAAACACCTCGGCAAGTGCGCAAGTCCGTCGCGCCCGCATGGCCACCTCGGTGTTAGGCCGTTCGGCTCCCCCCCGCATGCACATCGGGCAGGCCGGCGAGCTGCGCACGCAGCGAGGGCCGACCCTCTGGTTGTTCTGGAAGACGGGGAGCCACGGGGCGGCCGATCCATGATGCCAGCTCGGCTGGTCACGCGGTCACGGGCGGCAGCCTCGATCACGAGAAGCTCCGACTGCGAGGCCCAAGGAAGTACTCCAGATTTCGTAATAAAAGGAGGGGGGTCTCATTTCGGGGGGGGTCTCTTCCAGGCTATCTTGGAGGGCCTGGGGGGGTCTGGGGACGGTGTTTTGGAGGGTTCTCCCACGGGGGGGGGTCTGAAATGGCTTGTCTTGGAGGGTCCAGACCCCCTCCCTTTTATTACGAAATCTGGAGTACACCTGAGGTTGTTGTCAGATGTGCTGGCGGGCTCCGGTTCTTCGACCGTGGTCGAGGGCAACCGCCTGCTGATGGTGTCGCTGCTTGGAGGTACGCCTGTGCTCTACGAAGGCCCTCCTAATTTCTTGCAGCGCTGTCCACCACACATCATCGAAACTCCGATCGTATGTGCCCCCGTTGATGACACCCAGATGTGGTTCGGATTCCGACCAGAAGGTTTGCCACAACCTGGGCCATTCATGCTGTAGGCGCATTCTAGATCTATTATAGATGCCCCGCCTCCCTCCTTGCCAACGACTGAACCAGCTTCCTTTGTCCGCCTGACTCGCACATAGTGTCAACTTCAACAGACGGAGAAGTCCAAGTATAGACTCATCCAACGTATTTCTCTTAGGAGCGACATGGTCCGCTGCCAATGCTCGCCTTGCTGGCACGCGCTGATCGCAGCGTTGCAGGTGAGTCGCGTGCACAGGTGGATGAAGTCCACGGCTGGCAAATCGATGCTGAGCTTCTTGAGCATGTCCTGCCGACCGTGGCTAAAAGCCGCAGGCGACGTGCTCGCCTGGCATGGCTGCTAAAGCGCGTGCCGGCTTCGTGTCAGCATCCTGTCGGGAGTTTGGGCTCGACGCGCTTGCGGCCAGAGCTAAAAGCGCGCGTGCCAGATCCCAGCGAAACCTAAAACTAAATCTTCCTTCGATTCCGCCGCCGCGATTTCCAGCCAACGTCCTGTCAGGGATGTCCACTCGTCGGCACGCGCGCAGTCGGCAAGAGCTGAAAGCACGCGTGCCAGACTCCAGCCAAACATCCCAACTGCACTTTTCTTGAATCCAGCACTGCGGCTTGGGGCTAGTATACTGCCAGGGAGTTAGGCTCGAATCTTGCACTTTCGGCAAGAGCCTTCTGTGGTTCACTCGTCCGTCCTCCTTCTCAGCATCCTCTGGTTGCCCATTACTCTGGTCCCTTCCCAAGACGGGGAGGGTGCAAAAAGGCGCCTCTTGTTCCAATCGGGGATTGCGCCCTCCGGCTTCACCGCCTTGATGAATAACGTCTTGCCGTCGGCCCAGTCCACATCAAGGCCTGGGCAATATGCACAATCCTACAATCAAAACGTTGGAACAAGGACCACTGTAGTCGCAGAAAGGGTTGGCCTTTCCTCGAGTGTTTCCTGAGGCGATCCTCGCAATCTATGCGCAGCGGGTGCAGAAACGGCGCTTCGTTCCTTCTCCAACGTTTCTGACGGAATAACCTTCGCTGCAAAAGTCTAACACACGCAGACCACGCTCTAGAAGAGCCCCATAATTCTCTCGTCTGGCCCCTTCCCCCCCTCCTCCCTCATCTCTCCTCCACACTGCCTCCTCCCCGAAAGTTGAAACATCGCGGAAAATCACAACCGGAGCCCCGGACCCCATATTTCTGCGCCACTTTGGTCGAGAGGATCGATCTGAGAGGACCCCTGGCCGGCGCTGCGGCCACGGCCCAGGCGCTATTCCCACGGCGCCCTCCCTCCGCCTGCCGCCCTGCTCCGCCGGAGAGGCCGCTGTTTGTCCACGTCTTCTCCTCCTGCTCCTCCTCCTCGTCTCCTCTTTCTCTTCCTTCTTCTCTCCTCCTGCTCCTCCTCTTCATCCTCCTCGTCCTGGTCCTCCTCCTCCTCGTCCTCCTCCTCCTCCTCCTCAAGCTCGTCCTGCTCCTTTTCCAGCTTGTCCTGCTGCTCCTACTCCTTCTGCTGCTCCTCCTCGTCCTCCTCCTCCTCGTCACCATCATCATCATCATCATCATCATCATCATCATCATCATCATCATCAGCAGCAGCAGCAGCAGCACCAGCATCAGCATCAGCATCATCATCATCATCAGCAGCATCATCATCATCGGCAGCAGCAGCAGCAACATAATCATCATCATCATAATCATCATCATCATCATCATCATCATCATCATCATCATCGTCATCATCATCAGCAGCAGCAGCAGCATCATCAGTATCATCATCAGAATCAGCATCATCCTCACCATCATCATGACCAGTATCATCAACAGCATCACCATCATAATCAGCATCGTCGTCATCATCATCAGCATCATCATCATCGCCATCAGCAGCAGCATCAGAATCATCGTCATCACCATCATCACCATAATATTATCACCGATATCATCACAACCATCTCATCATCAGCATCACCATCGCCATCATATCATCAGCAGCAGCATCACCAGCATCATCACCATCATCATACATCATCGGCAGCATCGACATCATCAACATCATCAGCATCATCAGTCGTCGTTGTTACCGTCACCGTCATCATCATCAGCAGCATCACCACCACCAGCACCATCATCATCTTAATAATCATCACCATCATCATCAGCATCATCATAATAACCATGAGCATCAGAATCATCATCATCGTCGTCATCATCATCATCACCGTCTGAATGATCATCATCGTCATCAGCATCATGATCAGCATCATCATCGTCATCGACTTAGTCATCGTTTCCGTCATCGTCGTCGTCGTCGACGTAGTTGTCGTCATCGTCGTCGTCATCACCATCCTAGTTCTCGTCCTCTTCATCCGCAGCAGCATAATCATCATCATGCTCACCGTCGCCATCCCGAAAACATGGCCAGCTCAGCATCGTTATCAACACCCTAATGCTCAGCTTCTCCTCACCTCACAGCAAGGCCAGCGGCATTGTCATCGACACAGTTGTCATTGTAAACATCGCCATCATCATGATGGAGCTGTTTACAATCCAGCAGACCTCAGCAGACCTCAACGGGCACCTGGATCACCATGATCAGCATCAACAGTATCAACATTACCATAATCGAAGTCATTACCATCATCACCCCTCTGCCGCGGCATGCTTCCAGCCTCTCCCCTCTCGCCCCCTCCATCCCCCTCCCCTGCCCCTCCTTCTCCTCGTTCTCCTCCTCTTCCCCCTCCTCCGCCTCCTCCTCCTCCTCCGTCTCTTCCTCCCCGTCCTCCTCCACATCCTCCTCGTCCCCTGCTCCTCCTCCTCCTCCTCCCACATCCCTCTTCGTTACAAAGCCGCTACCGTGCCGTAACCACGAAGCGGTGGACTGTCCTCAGGTTCCCTCTCCTCCGTCTCTTCCTCCCCGTCATCCTCTTTCTCCTCCTCCTCCTTCCGCACCCCTCTTCCTGGCAAAGCCGACACCGTGACGTAGGCACGAAGCGGAGTGTCCTCAGGTCCCGTCGAGCTTCCTATGGAATCGGAGGTTGGCGGGTGAAACCGAAGTGAAACAGAGTCGCCCAAACGGACACTCGATGTCGATGCCGATTTGTGTTCCGCGTCCTCTCTCCCTACTTATCCTCCTGCTCCGCAGTCCCCTTCTCCTCCTCATCAACATGTTCCTCTTCCCCCACCTCCTCGTTATCGCCATCAGCATCATCAACAGCAACAGCATCAACAGCAACATCATCACCATCAGCAGCAGCATAATCAGCAGCAGTATTACCGTCATCAACATCATTAGCATCGTCATCATCATCATCATCATCATCACCATCATCATCATCATCATCATCCTCATCCTCATCATCATCATCATCATCATCATCATCATCCTCATCCTCATCCTCATCCTCATCATCATCATCATCATCATCATCATCATCGTCATCATCATCATCATCATCGGCATCATCATCATCATCATCATCATCCTCACCATCATCATCATGATCAGCATCGTCATCACCATCATCCGCACCATCATCAGCATCATCAGCAGCAGCAGCATCATTACCATCATCACCATCACCAGCATCATCACTACAGTCATCAGAATCATCAAAGTCATCACCTCATTACAATCATCTTGACCATGCACATCATCATATGGATAAACAAGCATCCTCATCTGCATCAACACCAGTATCATCCTCATCATCACCAGCAGCAGCAACATCAGCATCAGCATCACCTGCAGAACCAGCATCACAACCATAGTCTCATTCAGAATAGCACTCATCATCGTCATCAGCAGCGACCTCATCATTAGCAGCATCAGCAGCATCATCATCATCTGCATCACCATCAGCAGCATCATCCTCATCAACAGCAGTATCACCACAACCACCATCATCCTCATCACCATCACCATCACCGTCACCGTCATCAGCATCAGCATCATCACCATCACCACCATGCTCAGTCTCTCCTCACCTCACAACCAGGCCAGCGTCATTGTCATCAACACTGTTGTCATTGTAAACATCGCCCCCATCATCGCGAAGGAACTGTTTACAACCCAGCAGACCTCAACATGCACCTGGACCATCATGATCAGCATCACCAGGAACACCAACAATACCAGAATCGACGTCATCATTACCATGCTTCTGCCGCGGCATCCTGCCCATCCTCTCCCCTCTCGCCCCCTCCATCCCCCTTCCCACACCTCGTCCCTGCACCTCCCCCTGCCCCTGCCCCTCCTCCTCCTCGTCCTCCTCCTCCTCGTCCTCCTCCTGAGTCTCTTCCTCCCCGTCCTCCTCCACGTCCTCCTCGTCCCCTGCTCCTCCTCCTCCTCCTCCCACATCCCTCTTCGTCACAGAGCCGCCACCGTGCCGTAGGCACGAACCGGCGGAGTGTCCTCAGGTTCCTTCAAGTTCCGTGTAGAATCGGAAGCTGGCGGGTGAGACCGAAACGAAACAGAGTCGCCCAAACGGAAAATCGATGTCTCGGTATGTGTGGCTCGCGTCTTTTTCTCCTTGTTCCACTCCTCCTCCCCAATTATCCTTCTCCTCCTCCTCCTCCTCCTCGTCATCATCATCACCATCGTCATCCTCCTCCTCATCATCACCAAACGGAAAATCGATATCGGTGTCGGTTGGTGTCTCGCGTGCGAGGGAAGCGAGGCAGCCGCATTCCTGCACCGGCTGGGCCCAGGTCGCGCCAAAAGGAATCGCTTCCCTGAGAAAGCGTGCGCGGGGGTATCCCGCTCTTGTGCCGCGGTCGTCCCGATGGTTGTCCCGATGGTTGTCCTGCTCGCTGTCCCGACGGGTGTCCCGATGGCTGCCCTGATGATTGTACCGATGGTTGATCCGATAGTTGTCCTTATGGTAGCCCCGATGGTTGGTCCGATGGTTGTCCCGATGGTTGTCCGGTGTGTCCCGCACTTGTCCCGTGGTTGTCGGGCACTTGTTTCCCGGTTGCTCCTCGGTTGTCCCGTGGTTGTTCTGTGGTTGATCCATGGTTGCCCCGTGGTTGCTCTGTGATTCTCCCGTGATTGTCCTGCGGTTGTCCCATGGTTGTCACGTGGCTGTCCCGTGGTTGCCCCTTCCCCGAATGTCCCGCGGTTGTCCTGTGGTTGTCCTGTGGTTGCCCCGTGATTGTCCCGTGGTTGTTCTGCGGTTATCCCGTGGATGTCCCGTGGCTGTCCCGCGGCTGTCCCGTGGCTGCCCCGCAGCTGTCCCGTGGTAGTCCCGCGGTTGCCGATCAATGCATCGTGAGACCGGTCGGTAGTGAGACCAATACAGTGGTAGTGATATCGGTAGCCAAAAAAGCGTGGGATCGATAGATACGTCGCGAGACCGACACATCGAAAAATTTGCGAGTGAGATCGCTAGTTCGTGAGACCAACAGGTACTGGGAGCTATCGGTAGACAGTGAAATCGATAGATAGATCGCGACATCGTCAGCTATGAATGCGAACCCAGTCTGGCGCCAATCTCAAACCGAAAGCTGCACTCCTTCACCACTGGCCTCCTTATCACCCGAAGGGCTGTCCTGTAAGCATCGCAACTCTTACTTAAGGGGCCCAGGGCCGGGAGTCACGCACGCTCTTGGGCGCTCTCGGGCGCTCTCGGGGCGGCCCCCGTGGCTTTTTCAGGGGCCTCGGGGGCGTGGCCCGGAAGCGATGCTCCCGACACGGCCGAAGAGGGGTCTCAGGGCCCGTCCGGGAGAACTTCCTGGGCGCATCTTGGACCGTTTGGGAGGCCCTGGGGGCCGGCCCAAGAGGCCGCATGCGTGGAACGCTTGCGCGATTTGGCACACTCGGCTTGTTCAATCCTGGCAGCGCCCAAGACGGCCCAAGAGGCCCCAGAGATCGCTCCAAGAGGGTCCAAGGGGCCCCCAAGACGGCCCAAAAAGGGCACAAGTGGGGAACTCGAACTCACTTTGAGTCCTTTCCCCCAAGATGGCCCCCGAGAACGCCGAGAGGCCCCAAAGAGGCCTTCCTCTCACGGTGGCATCGCGCACATGTCTCTTAAACTTTTGCAGACGGCACACGGATGGATGGCAGCTTCTTTTCAAACGAGGACCCTCGATTCAAAAATCCTCTGGCTCTATGGCCAGAAACTTATACATGTGCAAACGCTACACGGAAGGAAGGGAGCGCAATTCAAAACTGAGCTTTCGCTGGGCACCTCCTTCATCTCTACGACTCTACATATCTAAATTTCGGTTCGCCAATTCGGGTAGAGGCGACTGCGTTTCAGACCGTCTCTCGTATGGATGGTAGGACTTTCAAGTGGACGCTTCCCTTATGTACAGGGTATGATGAAAGGGCGTATAAAGGAGAGCCCTCACGACAGGACGTGTATTGCAGCATCGCTGATGCACCATTAGGCTTAATTGGTCCTCCTCTTCCTCCTCATCCTGACCCTCCACTTCCTCGTTCTCATCATCAACTCCTCCTCCTCCTCCTCCTCCTCCTCCTCCTCCTCCTCCTCCTCCTCCTCCGCCTCCTCCTCCTCCTCCTACAGGTTCTCCTCACCCTTATCCACCCGCTTCTGTGGGACAGCCCAGGCGTTGCAGGCTGGCCTGGACCCCTGGCCTGCCCCAGGGCGACGGGGAGGGGAAGGCGGGCGCGGCCGAGCCCGGGCTTCTTGTCCAGGTCCAGCTCGACGTCGTACTCCAGGAGCCTGCTGACGCGGGCGGCAGCGGAAGTGGGCTGGGGCAGGAGAGAAGGCAGAAGAAAGAGGGGGGGAGGGAGGCGGGTGGAGGCAGGAGGAGCAGGAGAGGGAGAGAGGAGAGGAGAGTGGAAGGAGAGATAGAGAGAGATAGAGGGAGGCGAAGAGAGAGAGAGAAAGAGAAAGAGAGACAACAAGGGAAAGAGGTAGAGAGAAACATAAACAGATGTAGAGAGAGAAGAGAGAAAGAGGGAGGTAGAGAGAGAGAGAGAGAGAAAGAGACACCACTGCGGCCCTCGGGCCGGTCCAATGCTAGACGGCGCGATGGCGACTCGGCGCCGAAATTGCTCGGATCGTTGCTCGAAATGCTCGATGTCGCACCTGTACGCTTGCACTCCATATTTTCCGCGGCCCTTCTGCTGTTCGGGTGCAGGCAACGGAATGGAAGCAAGAGGAGCACGGGCACGCACAAACTCCCACGCCCGTCCGGCTCCCGTGCGCGCCCCCGTGTGGCAGCGCACCGGTTTCAGGGCGTGTGGAAGTTCGCCCACACGCCGCCGAACGGGATGGGTACGGGTGGGCTGCCGGCAGAGGTGGTGGTCGGAGCGGCATGGACAACGCTTCGGCGCGGACTTGACCGTGCTGGACTTCTTGAAGCTGGTGGAGTCGGAGAGCAGCCAGCAGCTGTGGGCGAGTGAGGGGCAAGTTGAGGAAGAAGACTGTGGGAGGCATGCGTGACGGCGAAGACGGCGGGGTCGACGTAAAGTCAAAGCAACGAAGCCAACACACATTGCTTCACCCCCCCCAGCAACCGTCCGGCTGAAAAAAAGTATGTGGCAGGATTACCGTGTGGGCGTACCCATGGTGTTGATAACATAACGGCGCGTAGCGGCGTCGTTTTCACTTGGTGGTGACTCGGTATGTTAGGGAAGAAGTTGGCGTATGCCTGTCCACCATGCTACGCGCTGAGGCTGGGAACGGCGCAATTGCATGCCTGACTGTCTGTTGTCAAGGCCAGCGTCGCGCCGAGAAACCAATGAAACTCGTGGCGGCCTGCGCCCCAAGGCCCTCTTGCACTTTGAAGATACCTGACAGCGGGAAGAATGCGATGAGCTGCTCAAGTAAGTCACTGCAGTCAGAATCGTCGGCGCTGTCGGTCGCAGTGCGGTTCCGTGCAAGGCCGAGGCTGTCCTTGAGGGCCAACGCGGTTGTTTGGCACATCTGCAGCGCTCCTTAGGTGCTACCCGCCGTTGGCTTGTGACTGGGTCTGTGCCGCTGAGCGTGGCGTGAGCACAGGGTCCGTGGTTGCCATCGACCTCGGTGACCTACGTTCATAAGCTGTATGCACAGCGTCGGCATGCGCACTTCTAGCAGGCTCCTAACAACAGAGGCATAATGGCCACACGCGCCCTGACCGAAGGAAGTTAGGGTGACAACTGGGCTGCACTGGAGGGCGCGGCCGTCAATGCTGTGCCAGGAGCTTACCACACGTGGTTCCCAGCGGTCCTGCTCAGGGTGCTCCAATAGTCCCAAACCGTCAACTTGGAATGTGGGCAGTATGGGGTAGCATGCGGCTTGTGACAATGGGACCCTGCCACTGAGCCAGGTAACAACTGAGCACACTCGCCCGCCCTGACCATCTTTCGTGTAAGGGTGAAGGGCAAGGATTTCGGGATGCAGTTCATGCTCGCCTCCCTCGTCGTTGGGAGGCAACTCCTGGGAGGTCTGAGCAAGAACGACTAAAGGGTCTTCAGCCCGATTAAAGGGCCACTAGGCCAGGTCAGGCCCAATCTTGCGCCTGATAAAACGGGATGAAGCAGGATTAAGCGGGAGTGTGCCGACTTAGGCCAGTTGTCGATTACGGATGTACCAGCGGTGAAGCTGAATTCAGCTTCCCATGGGGTGCATCCTAGCCGTCGTGGACAACGCCCGCCTGGACCTGTTTTTGGTCGAGGTCGGCGAGCGGGTCGCACCTGAGTTGCTTCTGCACGCGCATGGCGCCAGACACGCACGGCCACGCCCACATTCTGACACCTTCTCGTGCAACGGCCGTGGCGACGACGATGGCAGCGCTGCAGATGGCACCTCGGCGGGAGGGGGGTCGCTCAGGCGTGCGCGCAGCACGGCAAGACCATGGCCGGCCCCGCTGCCGCCATGGCGCGAGGCGGCTGTGAAGGCTCTAATGAGCAGGCAACTGGGCCTTCTGCGGGCATGACCCGACCCCCGCGAGGGCGGCCCGATCCCCGCGAGCCACCCGCGGCCAAGGACGGTTCGTCCGCGCGGGCCGCGCGGGCACTTCGAAGAACATTTGCGATTTCGCAATCGCTCTTCGCTCTTCGCACGAGAGAGGCACGAAAAGGTACGAAAAAGGTACGAAACGGCAAGAAAAAGGCACGACAAAGCACGAACAAGGCACGAAAAGACAGGAGAAGGCACGAGAAAAAACGAAAAAGCACGAAAAGGCAAAACAAATTACACGAAAAGGCATGGAAAAGGCACGAAAAGGCACGAAAAGGCACGAAAAAGGCACGAAAGCCATGACAAGGCACGAAAAAGGCACGAGAAAACACAAACAAATGCACGATAAGGCACGAACGGGCACGAAAAAGGCACGAAACGGCACGAGAAGGCACGAGAAAGGCACGAAAAGGCACGACAAATCACAAAAAGGCGCGAAAAAGCCACGAAAAGGCACGAAAAGGCACCGAAAAGGCACGGAAAAGGCACGAAAAGGCACGAAAAGGCACGAGAAAAGCACGACAGGGCACGAAAAAAAACGACAAGGCGCGAAAAAGGTACAAAAAGGCACGAAAAGGCACGAAAAAGGCACGAAAAAGGCACGAAAAGAGACGAAAAAGGCAAGAAAAGGCACGAAAAGGCACGAAAAAGGCACGAAAAGGCACGAGAAAAGCGCGAAAAAGGCGCGAAAAGGCATGAGCAATCGGGAAAAAAAAGGCACGAAAAGGCACGAGAAGGCGCGAAAAAAACACGAGCAGGCACGAAGAGGAGAAAACAGCACGAAAAGGCACGAAAAAGGCACGAAAAAGGCACGAAACGGCACAAAAAAAGACACAGAAAAGGCACGAAAAGGCGCGAAAAAGGCACCAAAAAGGCACGAAGAAGGCACGAAAAAGGCACGAAAAAGGCACGAAAAGGCAAGACAAAGGCACGAGAAAGAAACGAAAAAGGCACGAAAAGGCACGAAAAGGCACCGAAAAGGCACCGAAAAGGCACGAAAAGGCACGAAAAGGCACGAAAAGACACGAAAAGGCACGAAAAAAGCACGACACGGCGCGAAAAATGCACAAAAAGGCACGAAAAGGCACGAAAAAAACACGAAAAAGACCGAAAAGATACGAAAAAGGCAAGAAAAGGCACGAAAAGGCACGAAAAAGGCACGAAAAGGCACGAAAAGGCACGAAAAGGCACGAAAAGGCACGAAAAAGGCACGAAAAAGGCACGAAAATGCATGAAAAGGCACGGAAAAGGCAAGAAAAGGCACGAAAAAGTCGGAAAAGGCACGACAAGGCGCGAACAAAGCAAGCAAAAGTACGAAACGCAAGCGGGAGGCGCATAAGTGGGAACGGCTGGAAAAATGGCCAGTCGCCCGCGTGCCCTACCAGCTCGGGCACATGCCCGGAACGCGTCCGCGCCCCAAACGAACCTCCCGGGCCGTCCCCGGAGGCTTTCCGAGTTCCCCGGCAACTGCCCGACGTGCGCCCGGCCTCGGCGCCAGCGACAACGCGAGTGCCCGGCGCGGGATGGGAGCGTCCGGGTCGACGATGAGCGGCGGCCGCCATACCCCGAAGCCACCGGGATGCCCCAGAGTGCACCCCGCCACGTCTCGCTGCCTCGCCTCGGGTGAAGCGCGCGCGCGCTGGCGGACAGGACGAACGCCCAGCTCGCGCCAACGCCCCGCCAAAACGCACCCACCCGAGGCGCCATCAACACGCACCAAAACACCCTCATCAAGACGCACCAAAATACTGCCAACACACCCTAAAACGGAACGAAGAAACACCGACGGGGACCAAAACGCGTCATTAAGAGACCTACCACATGGAAGATGCTCCAGCTCGCACCAAAACTACACGAAAACAACACCAAAGCGCAGGATACATGAACGGCAACGCAATCTGGCAACGCCACAATCGGGCGAAGTCCGTTCCATTGCGATCGGGAACGCAGCAGAACGCACCAATACTGCGCCCACGTGTCCCGAAACAACTTTAAAGGCCATGCCGCCAGCAAACGCCCTCCCGCTATGCGGGAACAACGCTAGCAAGCGCCCCCCCCCCCCCCTCCCCCGCACTGGAGATTGTTGCAATATACACAAACAGGTCTTCGCATCACGCGGAAGACCCGGGGGCCCTCCTAAGACTGTTTGAAAGAGCCCTGCGCATCACCGTCGTCGTCGTCATCACCGCTAGCATCGCCCCATCCCTCCCCATTGCCCGACCCCCCTTCCTCCATGATCCCTCCTCGTCCTCCTCCGCCCCCTCCGCCAACCTTAGCCATGTTTTCCTCAATCTGGTCCGATCATCCTCCGACGGCGGGCTTGACGGGAAGGCTACTAGGCATATGATGGCCATGGCGGACCCCGAATCTCGGCATGATGCCTACCTAGCGTTTTCCACACTGAATACGCCAACGCGTCGACAAAAAAGGAAATTCGCCCAGCGATTGCTTCTCGGCGGGGTTGCGATGGTGCAAGAGGCGCCACGACGAGCCGATCGGGACGAGCCCAGACCGACATCAAGTGCCATGGCCGCCGCTCGGAAGTCAATGCGATGAAAATTCGCCAGCGCCAATAGCGCCACACGACGCAGATGATGGTTCCCCTTCCCCCGACCCAATGATAATAAAATGAAAGCGCCGGAAAATGACGAAACGGCTTACCCGCAGTCTCGTCGAAATGCTGAAATTGAATAGTCTGGCCTGCATGGCGCAAACATTCTGACGACTTGCTACGCATTACAATTGTAAACCGCACGCAATATTACTGATGTGCA